ATGCATCCTAAACAGACTTGAAGAAACGTTCAGAAAGTTATTACATATGAAGTTATTTGTTTGGACCGAAAGAACAAGAAATACCCTTAGATATGGAAGATGAAAGGAGGTGTACCCTCTTCTAGCAAATTACTTGGAGTTCATCACATTGTCGTTATCTTCTATATCTGGCATTCTTGGGTCCATGTTGTTTCCTTGGGATGGCGGACCTCTGATTCACTGTGTCTTGTATTGTGTTTTGAGCTCTTTAATAAAATTTTGTTTCGTAAAAAAAACTTTTTCTTTTCTTTTCATTTTCAAGTTTTTAATTTTCAGCAATTCCTGAAATTTGTTCAACCACCATTTGAGGCACTTTTAAAACTTGAGATAATCCATCTTCATTACCATCTGCAAGAAAGAATCAAGTTGCTATGTGAGGGTATTGTTCACAGCTCTCACTAAGGCAAATCCTAATATGGTTTTCTTTGTTAGAATCAGTTATGATCCTTCTCCTTTATGCCCCATTAGGAGATAGGCCATAGTGGATTGATTTGTACCTTGATATTGTTGAAGATGTTTTAGGAAGTTTTGTTTTTTGCTTCATCCACACTGTTATTTTTCACTCACCTTTATTGTAGAAAATATTTATTGTTTTTGTTTCTACATTTAGAATAATATCCTTTTCTTCCTGTGATCATTTTGTTGAGCTGAATTGAATGTTCTGGTGTCCATACGAGTCATGCAAGAGTTGCTGCTCAAAAGCTCAAAATCCATGTCATATTCACGGTATGTTAATTCAAGTCTCTATACCTTATCAAAACATTTCTACCTTCCAAGTGCGGGTATTTGGAACATTGGATAATTATATATATATATATATATAACTTTTTTTTTTGTTTGCTATTGTTTGTATGGTTTCCAACACTAATGTGAAGATTCAAAGCATATTGGCAAGTAACCGAGTTTTCCCTTTTTTAGTCGGGAAGCTCATCCATTGTCCCATAAATTCTTGTCCAATTATACTTCCCTACTTATTTTTTATGCTAGCCTGGATGTGTCCTACTGACTACATAATGCTTTAGAATTAATTCTGGCAATGCATGCTGGTAATTTTCTACATTTATTTGGTTGCAATCTGTTACTTTTATTCTATGGCAGTGTAGTAAAATGCTTAAGAAATGGTTGATGTAGAGAGACTTTGGTATGGATGGGAATAAATTTCATGTCGGGAAGAGTGATGATAACAACTGCAGCTTTTTGAGGGGTTCTATTTTGCCAGCTAGGTTAGGTGGTAAAATGTCATGGTTCAAAAAGGGTGATGAGCTTATGGCTGTGTCAAAGACTGCGCGGCCGTCTAGTAAAAATGGAGCGACTGTTGTGGTGAGTGGTAATGGGGAAAAATTGGCAATTGACAATTTACGTATTTCAATTATTATTTTCCAAAATGGTTACTCTAATGTCTCCTTCAAGGAAGAAGGCTGATAGCTTAAAAAACTCACATAGGGGTGTGTGGTATTCTTTTCCATCACCCATGCAGTGCACTGAGTAAGATACCTGAGGCAATGTTGGAATCTTAGAGTGGACTCTAGGAAATAATGAGAAGAGCTTAGTGTCTCTCAAATGCTGGAAGCATAGTGGACAGTGTCGGCAATACAGGATTGCTAGCACTAAGACCTTCTGTGTAAGGCAATGTTTGGATGAAACATTAGAGATTTTTGGGGCTTCTGGCTACCACCAGAGTACGCTGGAGCCAGTGTGGTATTGGTTTGGTTTTGGCCATGCTAGTGGGTAACAATATGGTTATCGGCATGAAGGGTAATACGTGTTGTCGATGGACAAAATTGGTTATGTAACATTTGGATTATAGTTGCTCACTTAGGAAGCTTGTGTAAGCATACAGTAAGTGTGAATTAGCTTGTGCATGTCTGAATAATCAATGGCTCATTTACGCTACACAAAAGACTCTGGTGGTGTCTTGATAGGGGTAGGATGTTGAGTTGATTTGGGCATTTGCTCGCACGATTTCTTGCGGGTTGTCTGTTACTTATGATTCACTGTAAGGGATTTAATTGTACTTATAAGCTTTTGATCCTAATGGACTTCTTGCCATCTTGTTCTATTCTTTACTTTTCTCTTTTCAGTATAATTCTTGTTTGTTATAAAAAGAGAACGCTCATCAGTTTTGTCCAATTTTTTGATGATATAACCAAACATGAAACTTAGTTTGTTGCTTACTCAAATATGTGAACTGATCTACATTGAGTCAGGGTGGGTGTTTCATCCTTTTTGGAGCATGACCTTGTTCGGGTTTCTCTTTTCTGACTGTATTACCACTGCAGTTTTGAAATCAAATGCAACATTTCTGGACAAGGCATCAACCTCAAGCTCTCCTCTATTTGACCATCAATCGAGGCATCACCATCAGGGTGAGTTCTTAACATCAGTCTCCCGTTGTTATATCTGGTTATATTTCTGATAATTGTAATCTTTTTTTCTTTTTTTGTCTCTAAAATTCGGGTCATTAAACTGTTTTCCTTAGAAAATTGCATTGCTCTTCTACCATGTATATACTATGGTCAGATTTCTCAAAAATTGTTGGAATCTCAGGCAATTTATAGTCTAATTCACCAATGACCTAAATTGAACATGAGTTCGTAATACTTGCTGATTTAATGAGTCAAATCTTCCTATGCAAGGAAATTGGCTCAAAGATTTCCACAGATTCTATTATGTAGTCTAACTTTGATGTTATTTTTGAAAAAAAAATCCCCCCGCCTTTTAATAATTGCTTTATGAACTTTCCATGTTTCAAATTTATTTATCTTGATTAACTTGGCCGTCCTGAGCATTTCAGTTACTAATTCTTTAGGGGTCTTCAAAGCAAACTCTGTTTTTGTTCTGGATGTAGATTATCTTAAATTGTTAGCTGTGTTTCAGGAATTCACATCGAACAATTTTGCTCAATTCAATAATGTGCATCTTCCCCTTCGTTCTAGGAAGCCTTTGACCAAAAAGGTGCATGTCCTCGGCACTATCTATTTGTTCTTGTACCATTTACTGTGAGAAGGGCCTGTTCTAATTATTGGAGTTAATTTCAGGATACCGTAGCTATTAATGAGTGGAGATTTTCCAAGTTAAAGGAATACTACAAGGACAGAAACATCAAAATGGAAAATGAAGCTTTTGATTGATACATGCAGAATGTGACCCTATTAGAGGAAGTGTTTTTTGTGAAATCTATTTCAACCGATAATACCACTACTGCTACTACAGAAAAAGACACTGAGGAGGTCTCAGGGTTGAAGTTGAAGTTTAGATCAAATCCAATGAGAACCAATAACTTCAGAAAAAGGATACGGCAAGTCGTTGATGAGGGATTAAAGACTTAAAAAACGTGAGTTAGATGATGGGGAGAAGGAACCAAGTGGGAACTGAATTGGATCAGGGGCCCAAAGAAGGGGAAAAATGGCGGGCCGAAAGGGCTTCTGCTCTAGGCGATCTCATTGATATGCTGAACGAGGCCCGAAATGTGGAGGATCTGAAGTTGTGCTTGGAGATGAAATCTCAGCTCTTCAAGGAACATAAATTGACTAGCACATCAGAATCTGAAGAGAAACAGCTACAAAGAATGATTTGGAACCCCGGAAAGAGTCGAATTATTCATTTCCCAAAGTTGTTAGCACTACCGAAATCGATCAAGAAACTCTCAATATCGTCTACACTCGCTTCTCTTCCCTTGAGCATATACAAGGTAGATGATCTATGATTTGAGGGAGGTGTCATAGATTAATGTAGTTTCTTCCTAGAGTTTCCTTTCTAGTCAATAATAAATCAAAGGATGCTTAGAAGTTGCTCCTGATTTGCACCGACCCTTCCAACAGGTTGGGATTGGCCACCCCCTCATAATTTAACATTTTTGACTCTGGTCATGTTCCTGAGTCAATTATACCAATGACAATCCCATCTCCCATCTTTGTGTCATGCATAAGATTTGTGGGAGAATGAGAAGAGAGGCCTAGATAATCCCGACTCCTAGTATTTTGCAGCGTATGAAAGCTACTAGGCATGACATGAGCAACCCCGGGTAACTCTAAAACAAGATTGAACAGAAGGAATATACTCGGTAATTATAATCAGAAATTTTTTAGGCATATATGCATTGATCAAAAGTGGTCATAGAAGAGAGCACTCAATGTGAAAGTACCTGCAATCTCCTTGGCTTGAGATTCTAAGGCTCGCTGCAAAACCAGAGAAACCATGTTTGTAGCTATAGACTATTGAGCCAATGGCGGCTTCTTTGCTGTAGCATAGATTCAACCACGCATAATCAACAACCATTTTAAAATTTTACCTCGAGAGACTTAACATTAATTAAGTCATCTTCAAACAAGCAAGTTTCCAAAAACAGCATAACCATGAATCAAAGAGAATTAAGCAGCCGTCACCACACCTTTGCAATGCAGCTGGCAGATTAAAAACAAGCAAGAAAAAAAAAACTACTTGAACAAGACTAAAAATTAGAACTCTGTTCTCACAATTCAAGCTGCTTAATCAGAAGCTTAAGCACTCCTTATGGTGAAACTGAAGTAGCATGAAGTATAAAAGTTACTGATTTGAATGAAAGTAAAACTGTTAGGGCATTATTCCTGCCAACAACTGATGCCAGCATCTCATGATGTGAACTGGTTACAAGCTCGGGATGCTCATGCTACTTCTCCCCCGTATAAACTATGTGAAGCTATATATAAGATAGACAGTAATTTGTGGTAATCCTCCATAAATTAAGAAATTAGAGAGAAAGATTTCATGTTTTTGAAGCAGTACTTACTCTACTCTCGGCATCAATCGGTGCAATCAGGGTGTCCTGACCGTTGAAAACTAACAAAGGACTGCCTCAGTGAATGTGTGGCTATCTAATTGTCATAAATCTCGAGAGAGTTGAGTGTAGTTTGAAGTACTATTGTGATTTGGTGCTGGTGCAAAGTGATCCTAAAACATATGAGATTGGTTTGAATGTGAAGGTATATGATACTATTGGGAGCAAAGTGGACAAGGATCCATCTTATAGGGACGTTGGCAATTAAGGATAAGGTGTTTAAGTATATTGGTGAGGGTTCATCGTTCGCATTTGCACATGGCTTAGACTCATTATTATGTGGTTTTTACTGCCTCTACTCATTGGTGTTGTAGACTGTTGTTCGCATTTGTACTGAGCCTGAAAAAATTGAGACTTTGAGTTTGAGGTCAGTTCTTGACCTTCTGAAAGATAGTCCACAAATCTAATTCTTGCCAGATTGTATTTAGCGAATGCATCTCTACTTCCAAGAAAATATAATATTAAGCATCTCTTAGCTCTTAAAACTTCTGGTAATTCAAAACATAATGATAAACAAAACAACCCACTTTCATTGAAAAGTGTTCAAAGTCATCTCTCAATACTTTTAAATTCCACATAAACGAATAATGTTTTATCAAAAGGTAAAATTCCTTCATTATAGAAACATGGGAACATGAGTAAAAATAATTTCCCAAGCTTAGGGAATGGTGTCGCTTCTAGCAAAGTACATCAAGACAAACAACTATATGATACAAACAAATTCATCTAAAATAAAATCTCAAAGGCTGGAACCAAAAGGCCACAATTATAGGCAACTATATGCTTGGTTCATCTATCATGTATTTTTAATGTAGAAAATATATCCATTCAACTGTAGAACCAACTATATGAATGGTTTATCTATCATGCTTGATATATACTTGGTCTCCCCCTTCTTGTTTCTTCAAGGCCTTGCTTTATCTGCTTTCCACTCTCTTCTTTCTTTCATTGGATCTGAGATCAAACAAGATCCATGAAATTCTGAGTTCAAAAAAAAAATCAAAATTTAGTTATTGTTTCATAACAAAAAAAATTGAAATGGAATTAGATACATTTAGAAGTATCGATAAAACAATAACAACCTTTCAAAGTAAAGGCTGTGAATGATGATAAGAATAATTCATGGTGATATAAGGATATCAAATAGCTCAACATGGATAAATGCTCAGGCCAAACTTGACTCACAAGTCAAACCATGCTTCATTCTCCAACTAAACCAGAAAAAGACAAGAATACGTATGAATATTAAGTATATCAACAATAATAAATGATTAAGGCAGATGTCATGTACTTACTTGGGTGCCTGCTCTGCACAAGTTCTTACAGAGATGAGAAAATGGATGGGATGTCCATCCACCATCCACTTAGAAATAATGAATTTAACCTCATAGCTCATTTTTTGCTTAGTAACAAGATTATCTTTGTTAGAAGTAATAGGATTATGAGCTCTCAATTGAATATGCCACATCACCACAAATTCAGCTTCATTTGCAAAGAAGCTATCCCAATAACCCTTGTATAATTTTATTGCATTCTCCCTTGCAACAAAATCGGTACTGTAAAAAGGAAGTCTCACAAACAAAAACCCAGCTCTCATCTTCTCTGTATGTGTCTTCAAGAAAGGGCTATGCAACTATAGAGACAACATGACACTAAAATTTAACAAAAATGACATCTTATCAGAGAGAATATGTCGTAAAAGTTTTAAGATGAGAATATGTCGAAAAAGTTTCAAGAGAAACAAACCATTCTTGAAAAGAAATGAGAGCTTTTCTATTGACTTCCCTCACTCGAAATAATACATACAAGAGTACAATTTGTGTTGCTTGCCAATTATCATAATGGGATTATTTTAATAAGAAAATCATGTCATTAGGCATGCAATGCAACGTGGAGAACAGATGATAGAATTATCAATCTATAGAGATTATTTACTCTTGTTTGCACACTTAGAGGAAGAGACACCAACATTAATTTTCATATTAAAAAAGATGAACAAATCCTATATAATAGTATTAAAAACGTTTTCAAAAACATACCGACATTTCAATAATAATGTGACTTACGTGACATCATTGTGCAAGATCCTGCATAAGAAATCTAGCTCCTTGGGCAATAAATCATCATAAATGATGTCAAATACATGTTCAAGCATTCCGGTATCACTGACTCCAGTCAATTAAAATTTTGGACAGCCTAATACTGCTTAGCCATATGTTATCCAGGGTGACATTCCCATGCGAATCACCAGTACAATCGAGCATACTGACTCCAGTCAATTAAAATTTTGGACAGCCTAATACTGCTTAGCCAGGGTGACATTCCCATGCGAATCACCAGTACAATCGAGCACATGAACAAGGGGAGAAATAATAATTACATGTAAACAGAACATAAGAAATGAGTGATATAACTAGTTACCGGATCGGTAAATGGCATTTGTTCCCTCTTCATCATTGTAACCCAAGATGAAAAGCGATGACTCTACTGGCTCAATGAAGACAATCGTAAGGCCATATGAAGTGGGGTATAATGCCTTGATGAATAGCACATAGCTTGTATTGCAAACCTTCTGTAAACTCAGCCACTTTTGCAAAATCGGATTTCCTAATGTAATGTACTGTGGCGGGAAGGCCACAGTAAGTCCCGTGGTAAACATGCAATGAGAGAGTATCATCTTCACTGTGCTTGAAAATTTCATAATGCGCATAATTTAAACAACCGAAACTGTCAGGAAGAAACATATCATGATCATGTAGATAGACCCAATTTTGCACATCCCTAAATGAAGCAGCAACAAAATCGGGAGAAATAACATGGCTTGAAATGTGCCAATGCCAATCTATTTGTCTCCAAGCCATGTTATTTCTCCTGGCTTTGCTGCTGCTTCATTTAGGGTGGTGCAAAATCGGGTCTATCTATATGACCAGGAGAGGTTTCCTCCTGGCAGTTCCGGTTGTTTAAATTATGCACCTTACAAAATTTTCAAGCACAGTGAAGATGATACTATCTCACTGCATGTTTACCACGGGACTTACTGTGGCCTTCCCGCCACAGTACACTACATTAGGAAATCCGATTCTACAGAAGTGGCTGAGTTTACAGGAGATTTGCAATCCAGGCTATATGCTATCCATCAATGCATTATACCCCACTTCATATGACCTTACGATTGTCTTCACTGAGCCAGTAGAGTCCTCGCTTTCATCTTGGGTTACCATGATGAAGTGGAACAAACGCCATTTACCGATCCGGTAACTGATTATATCACTCCTTTCCTTTGTTTTGTTTACAGGTAATTATTATTCCTCTCATTGTTCATGTACTCGATTATACTAGTGATTCGCATGGGAATATCACTCTGGATAATATATGGCTAAGAAACAAACGCACGATATTAGGCTGTCCAAAATTTTCATTGATTGGATAACTTCCATCGCCATTTGAAGCTGAAATCAATAAACCAATTAAATTATTAATAGTACCAAAGCTCTACATATCTTGTCCAAAACAAATTGTATCATGCATGCACTAACCAAGTAGCACAGAACAATTTAGAATTCTTTAAATAACGGAGTGAATGCATTTAGGGCTAAAGAAATAAAACTTGAAACCAACAAAAATCATCCATATAGCTACTCAATTAGTAATTTCATTCATACAATTAAGACAAGTACAATCACAAACAGCTATAACAATAACTCCAAGGAACAGAGCTTTAAGAGAGAGGGAGATAGAGGTGTAGAGATAGATAGAGGGAGACAGAGGGAGAGTGCATCAGGGTTGAGCATAAAGAAGATTAATGCCCGAAAAAAATCACAAAGTATTGCAGCTTATTTATCAGAATTCATTGACAATTTATTGACGGGACAACAAATCATCGATACCCAATTAACTTATGTATTCATTAATCAGCTATATCTACAACTACAAGACTCCAATTAACATTGGAATCAATCCCATATTAAATCATAACTTGGAAAACCAACTGCTCATAATGATAAATAAAAAAGAGCACCCTTTACTAATCCTCACAAAACCCAACTCTCCTTGACTGACAAAAACATAACTAATAAGTCATTAAGTACATAATTTCTTATTGCAATTCAGTCTGAGAAAGCTTCCCAACTTAGTGGAAGTGAAACTAGCAACAGTAGTAGTTACCAGTCAAAATTAAAACATAATACCCAAAAACAATCGGATATTCAAAACTATCGACTCCTTCCTTTTCCTAAACATAATTTGAAATTCAAATTGATCACGCATCAAACACTTACAGAATCAATCAATAACTCTTTCCGAAGCACTTATGCCAGTAGCGCTTATGCCAGTAGCGCTTATGACATAAGCGCTTCTACAAAGAAGCAGTTTGTCGTTTGGATGTCACATTTAAAAGTGTTTTTACACTACATAAAAGTATTTTTGATATTTTGTTGAGTGTTTGCAGTTGATGAGTGGACTCGGCGAGACAGCAAGTGAATGATGAATCCGAGTCAAAAAAGAAAACGAAGACCAAGTAGAAGAAGAAGAAGAAGAAGAAGAAAAGAAGAAGAAGAAGAAGAAGGAAAGAGAAGCGGCCTCTGAAAACCCTAGCGACTCTGCTATCTGCACGCAGCGCGCGGGCGCTTTATTTTTTTAATGGGGATTGGCCAAAACGACGTCGTTTTGGACTAGGGTTTAAAAATAAAAAAACAGAAACAACTGGGCCATTTCGTGGGCTTCTATAGGGTTTTAGTTGGGTTTTATAATTCCTTTCTTACTTGGGTTTTTATAATTCCTTACTTATTTTACTTATTTGGGTTTTAATTGGGAGTTTTCTTTATTTAATTGGGTTTTGGGAATTTCTTATTTAAGTGGGATTGAGAATTCTCTTTATAAATGACCAATTTAACCTCACCCAATTTCATCAATGTGTGTATGCATCACAAGAATCCTACGTTTTTCTTTTCATTCTTGAGTGTGCCAATTCAATTTTTGAGTTTACATTGAGAAAGATATTTTTTCTTGTATTAGTAATGCAAATATAATGCGACGTTTTCATGATATGAAACCTCATCGGCAACAATTGTAATGTTATTTTTTTCAATTAATTATGAATAACATTAGTATTGTTTAAATCATAAGGATGTTTAGTTGTTGTTTTTTTTTTTTGAACTCTTAGCTTTTAAAAATTGCACCTCCGTTGAAAAATTCTTAGGTCTACCGCTAGATCTAGGAGTTTATGCTTTGTAAAAGTGTTGTTTTTGCTTCACTTACAGAGTGAGAAATTATGGGTTGGGATGCTTTTACCCTTCCTCCCTACAAATTCAATAAAATAAATAAAGATAATCAATTTTGGCTAAGAAGCATGGGATCATACTTCTCTCTCTTTCTTTTGGTAAATCTACTGTTTGCTCTTCAAATGCAACGAGAGGATAGAAGTTGGAGTCTGAGGAAATCGTATTAGCAGCAATTGGTAAGGACCATAATGTGGGTTCAAATTTGGGTTGTACAATTTAGCGATTGGAAGTTTAGATATCAGGAATTCTAGGTGAGGATGTGCTTTTGAATATAATATATTTAAAAACAATATAGGCGCCTGCTATACTATTTACCAAAAAATTAAAATATAAAAAAAGGTCCTAAGTATAGCCGCACGACTATATATTTAGTATATATTTATATAAAAAAGGGGGACCCACCCAGCACTTAGGCTACCCTTTTTCTTTAAATAAAAAAAAAAAAATATAGCTGCGCCACTATACTCTTTTGATATATTATATTTCAAAAGTATAGTCATGCGGCTATACTATTTATTCAAAAAAAATTAAGGAAAAACCCCAGTATAGCCGCGTGGCTATACTATTTATTAAAACATTATAATTTTGGCAAGTTATAGTAGAAAAGTTCGGCCACTATAAAATATTTTACTATAATTTATTTAAATATTTAAATATATACTATTTTTATTCAATAATATGTGAAAGTTATGTGTATAATACGTGAATTTTGTGTGTATTATTGAAAATTTTGTAAAAAAACCATGTGTATTAAACATGAAAAATATGTATGTACGTGTACAATAAGTGTATTGTATGTTTACTTTTTATAAAAACATGTATTTTACCAAACCTTTAAGACGTGTACGAAAAAAAGAAGTATTATTGATAAATACGTATGTAGGTGTATAATACAAGTATTAAGCGGAAAAATACTAAATTCTTTATAAGGATAATAATTCTAGAATAGTTAAAAATCAAAAGGGGGAGACTCGGCTAATGGCCTAATAATAATGGATAATGCTCGAAACTACCTTTATCGATAAACAAAAATTATGAAAAAAATAAAATTCTTTTTTAAAAAGGACCCCAGTATGTATTTAAAGAGTATAGCCGTGCGGTGATACTATTTATTAAAAATATTTTTTTTAAAAAGGTCTTAGTTTTAGCCGCTCGACTATACCTTTGAATATAATATATTTAAAGAGTATAGCTTTATTATTATTATTATTATTATTATTATTTATTTATTTATTTTTTAAAGGAAGGAGGACTGGCCTAGCGCCTAGGCGTCTGCCTAGCACTTAGAGCTTTTTCCATCCATTTGTCATGGTAAAGGGGAAAGGAGGCAATGGTTGTTACTATTCACATGAATAGTGTCTGCACTTGCAATTTTTTCGTTGGGTTTCCACCCATTGCCAGGGCAATTACTATTCACTTTAA